TATATATATATATATATATATATATATATATATTGTATACAATGAGACCATTGACCTTTTATACAAGGTGGTTACAATTATGTACAACCATCCGATATGAAATTTGAATGCTTTCGTGTGTCACAAATTTCGAGAAAATTTCCTTTGAAGTTTCGAACTTGGTCAATGGACTGGATGTAGCCATCTAATTTCACATTGAATGGTCAAGATTAATTATGACCACCTTTTCTATATATATATGGAAAACTCTTCCCAACGCCTATAGGCCGAAACGAATAGTAATTTCGCTTGCCCTCACCATCCAAACTTCATAGCACGGTCCCAGTTGTTTGGTAATATTTCAATTTTCATATTTTTTCTAAAAATTCAAATTACGTAAAATTTGGAACTTGTGTACATCTTAGTGAGGCGCACCTAATAAAAATATAAAAAAGAATTCATAAAATATAAATTGACTAAAATACCCCCAAAAATTTACAGGGGTATTTTGTCAATTTATATTTTACGAATTATTTTTTATGTATTTTTATTATGTGCGCTTCACTAATATATATACACGTTCCAAATTTCAGTTCATTCCGATTTATAGAAAACAAACGAAAAATGAAACACTATCAGACAATCATGACCGTGCAATGAACTTTGGACAGTGATGAGGGTAGACGAAATCACTGTTCATTTTTTGCCTATAGGCGTTGGGAAGACTTTTCCGATATATATATATGTATATATATGAATTAAAGTAAAATAACTACCATGAAGGTCATTTTCGTCCATAAAACCCGAAAATAAAGGAAAATGATGTAGATGGGATGTTTGAAAGTTAGGGAGTTTTTTCCAATTAAGCTAAAATATAGGTATATTTATGATAATTACCTTATATTATATTATATTACTAATACTAATATTATGTATCTATAATATGCATGGATAGTGATCAACAAAAAAACCTTTATGAAAAATTAAGTTCCTACCCTTAAAAACGTAATATTATTGAGATGGCAATTCGATAGTGATGAGCCATGAGCGAATTACTTTACAAAATCACTCATAAGGGATGGATGTGTAGACACACTTGCACACGCAAACACATATAAAGTTTGGATTCACTTTTTATGTGTCCAACAACCTATCTTTTATATGTTGTTCCTCCAAAATCCATTTAAATTGTAAGGGGTGATAATCGGTGATCATGAAAAGTAAAATTTGAAATTTAAAAATGGTTTTTAAGATTTTTCTCACATGATCTACTTTACATTTTAGTGGAGGGAACGTATTTGTAACTCCATCTTAGAGATGGATGTTTGATGCATGAGGGGAAACAGCCTAATAGT